GGCTCTGTGCTGGGTATGGAGCCTGCTTGCCTGCTTAAGATTCTATCCCTCTCCCTCTGCCGCTCTCTCTAAAAAAACCCCAAACACCAAAACAACGATTTGGCTTTTAAAAAACAATTAGATTTGATTGTATACTGAACTTTGTCAAATCTACTATTCTCATAAGCCCTGATTTAAATCTTTTAAAAACTTACCTAAACTGATCAAATCTTTTGAAATAACTATATTAACTTTCCATGTTTAATTAGGTTTTCTTTTATTAATAGTAAGCTCCTTGAGCATAGATCCTTGCCATGTAGAAACATCACCAGATACTTAGATCAGCTTGAATTTAAATCCTAAAATACGATGTTACTCTAGTTCAAATTATATGTGGAAAACCCCCAGTCACCGATGCCTCCATGTGGACATAAAAATCAGCAGTGACTCTTAATTGGGCAAAAAGACTACACAGGGATTGCAGAGATTGCTTTGTTAACAAATAAGCAAATTATGTAACTTTCCAAAAAATAACGAAGCCATTGGAAAGCAGGTACATTCAACACAGCAATCTGTTATACTTCTCAACACAGACATCTACAGAAACTGTAAGGTGGAACAAATTCTATCATTTTTCAAGATACATATATATGTGACATACATATATAAAATAGCAACAGCCAATCTTAATTACTAAATAAAAAGTGAGTAAAACTTCATCCAGAAACAGAATTTTTAACAGCAGATCCAGGTCTTTTTTTTTTTTTTTTTAAGATTTTATTTATTTACTTGACAGAGATGACAAGTAGGCAGAGAGAGGAAAAAGCAGGCTTCCGGCTGAGCAGAGAGCCTGACTTGGGAATCAATCCCAGGACCACCACCCAAGCCAAAGGCAGAGGCGCTCAACCCACTGAGCCACCCAGGAGCCCCGATCCAGGTCTTCTAAAACTGAAACATGTTCGGGGAACCTGGGTGGCTCAGAGGGTTAAGCCTCTGCCTTCAGCTCAGGTCATGGTCCCAGGGTCCTGGGATCGAGTCCCATATCGGGCTCTCTGCTCAACGGGAACCTGCTTCTTTCTCTCCCTCTGCCTGTCATTTCCTCAGTTTGTGCGCTCGCTCACTCCCTCTCTCTCTCTCTCTGGCAAATAAATAAATAAAATCTTAAAACAAAACACCTGAAACATGTTACCTCATTTTCCCACAAAATGAGGCTTATTCTAAAAAACAAAAACAGAGACTTCTTTAGTTTTGAGTATGCCACAGTCCTCAGAACATAGACTATTTTATAATCTCCTTAAAAAACAAACAAAAACTTCTCTTCTAAATACTGATGAGATCCCTATGTCAACTATTTTAACGTGGGCTCAAAAAAAAAATAAATCAGGAAAATGTTCAGTGTTCCATGATTAAAAATCCAGAAATGGGAACACGAATGGATAAAAAAATCCACAGGAACATTCTAATTTTGAGATTTCAGTGTAAAATACTACCTTAAAAAGCTAATTACAGAGCTTCATTTGAAGCCTTGACCAAATAAATAAATCATTCTGCTTTCAAAATAGCTTTTCATCATTGAAACACCATTAAAAATTGTGGTGACTTTGATTTTGTAGGGAACATTATTAGTTTGGGCTCACTGAAATACAAAAAACAAATCTGTCATAATGAAATTTTTTTCATTAATACCTAAGAGATGATCTAATGACCGTTCAGTTAATATTCAAATACAGTCACCCTCCATTAATATATCATAAAATCCTTAAGAATTCTCAGTGGGCTCTAAATCTGTATTACATTATCAATTACAAATCAATTCAGTATTAAAAAAATTTTGAGGGCTAAGATAGCATCATCTGTGGAACATAAAAAGTAATGTTCTATTACTACTACTGGTAGTAGAAAAGTACTACTGTTAAAGAAAACATTAAGATGGTTTACAAAAGCACCAAGAGAATGCACATAAAGATGGAAAACTTTAAGGATGACTACGAGGAAACATAAACTCACTAACTATACCATAAAAACAGTATTTGTTTTTAGTATCCTCTAATGTCACTTCTGTGTAGCAAAATATTCCACTGTACAAATGTCTAACTAGAGTGAAAAATACATTATATTTAAGAAATCACATACAAAGGCCAATAAAAATTCTCATAATTATTTTACTGTATGTGTGACTTAAACATTATAATTCTGCTTGAATAAAGAGACCCAGGGGAAGAAACTGAAAAATAAAGCTGAAGAAAAAACAGAAAGAAAAAAGTAAGAAGTAAGTAAGTAAGCAGTAAGAACAAAGCTTTCTGATGGAAACTGTACAAAGATGAAAGACTTAACTGTATAATCCTTTTGGCCTTATGTTTCCACTTCTAGGAATTTATTCCAAATAATCAAAGATATACAGAAAGATCTAGATGCCTAGATATTTTAGCAACAGACAACAACTGTCAGGCACAATCTTTTGTAAAACATGCACAAGGATACCATACATTGTTATCATAGAAAAACTAAGGTATCAGATCATATAAAGTATGGTACATCTATTCTATAGAACACTACGCAACCAAGAAAAATGATTTATGGATAAAGTGTTTCCCATGTTCCAAGTATCTTCCATAAAGAAAAAAACACAAGGGATAAAATGAGTACAGTACTAGATTAACCTTTATTTTATAAAACAAAGCTGATGAAAAAGAGAAACCCTTCTGTATTATATAGAACTACAGTATAAACTGTAACTTTTGGTGGAAAGAATACAAGAAACTTTTGTTTTCTTTTTTGGGCTTTTTAGTAATTTCCCAATGTCCACTGACATGCATTATTTGTATCAGATAGTAAGTTTTAAGTTGGGTAGTGGAATTATAGGTGATTACCCCCTGGACAGTTCAGCAGTATTTACTGTTTTATTAAGAAAAAATAAATCACTTCTTTTCAACTTTTACTGACATATCTTGTCTATATGCCAATTTTTTTAATTAGGAAGAAAAAAATCATGGAAATATTAATATTATTCTGTGATAAAAATGTTAAATATTTTAAAATTCAGAAATAGGAAGTACATAAATAGATAAAATTCATAAATATGTACTAAATTTGAGATTTTAATCTACAAGATCACATCAGGAAGCTAATTATACAGATTCATCTGAACCCCTGGTCAAACCAAGCTTCTTTTAACCATGGTTCTTCCGTTTTTGCTATTTATGGTTCTACTGGTACACAGCACTGGTCCATAAAAACTTTTCCACCCAGTCTACCCAATTTTAAAGATTTTTACAGAAATTATAACTTACCTCAGTAATACTTAGGATATTTCACTGAAGGTCTTGTTTTCTTCAGACCAACTGCCAAAAAACCGCCAATAAATTATTAAATCACACAATCGTTTCTAGTCTGGAGACCTAACAATATGGGTCAATTTGAGCAATAGGGCTCAAAAGAAAGACAGAAAGAGAATAATTTTAAGCAAGTATCCACACCAGTGTGCCAAAAATGCCTCATTCCACTCTCTTAAGTAATTTTTAGAAAAATCACTGCTGTGAATGAAAATTTTAGTTGGACAGTTTTTCTTTTTGAGTAAATTTACTCAACGTAGATTCAACGATATTTCACATTTTTAAAATTTCATTCTTTAAAACAACTTGCCAATTCAAATTCCACTTCACCATTTCAAATGTGTTTTAACAGAACACAAAGATTCTGCCAAAAGCACAAAATCAATGGCTGCCCTGACCAAAGTTCCTATCGGGGAGGTCCTCTTATTTAAAGTGTTCTCAGTCCCTACAAAACCACTACCATTTCCTTTCAGAGCAGCATCAGCCTCGTGCTGAATGGCACAGGCCGCCTATCTAAGGTTAGAGTAGCAGAGCCTGGGCTAGGTATCCAGTTCCACACCCCGCAGATTCCTGCAGTTTCCCCAACGCTTAATCCTGTGAGGAGCACGCGGAAATCTCTCTCCCCACGCAGATGGGTGTAAACAACTTGGCCTTCCCCGCGTTAATTAAGGAGGCGCCCACAGCAGGTAGCACTTGGCAAGAAGATATGACAAGCTCCTGAAACGCACTTCCAAAGGGAGGAAGGCGAAAGATTTATGCGATCTGAAGAGAAACCAGAGTATCCAAAGGGAGGAAGAACTGATCGGAAAGCTGACTCCAGAAAATCCCTGGGGAGGCAAGCAAAGGACCCGGCCGGAGAAAGAAACCTGCACATCTCCTCCGCCCCTTTCTCTCTCGCGGCGGGAGAGAAAGCCTCGCCCCCTTTCAACCCGCCCGCCTCCCAGCTCCCCACCCCGCCACAGCGAGACCTTACTTTGCCATGGCCGCCGCGCGGCCCGTCCACTTCCGGTGCCGGTGCCTCTAAAGCTGCGCCATCCCCGAGTCCCTCGGATATCCACAGCTTCCAACCGACCTTTTTGACACGTCCCCGACTCCTCCAACCTTCACCAGGTGCCGTCCTCGAGTGAAGAGCGGATAGGTGCCGCACTAAAATGAAGCTACAAGATAACGCCCCGGTTCTCCTCTCGCCAGAAACATAAAATGCGATAGAGCTGCAACCACCACCGCTCAGACAAAATGGCGCCGAGAAGCCGGTTTAGCGCAGGCGCCTTGGAAAGACCCTGCCCCGCCCCCGTCCAAATCCTGGCCGCAGCTCCGGGTTCGGTTTCCATGGGACACTTCGCCGCCAATCCTCGTGCCGAACTGCTCTTCCTGACCCCTCAATTTACCAATCAGTGCTCGGTCAAGCACATCCGGAGTCGTATCAACCAATCATTTTTCAGGACCTGCTTACTCAATACTCGATTCTCCAGTAACGTTAACCTTCGGAAACAGCCAATCATAAGTGGAAGATGTCCTACCTGCTGTTTTTCGCACCAATCCGTGAAGTTTCACAGCTACATCCAATGAGGACGGCAGGTAGCGAGCTCCAATCCGAAGCTCTTCGGCGTCATGAGCAGCCAATAGGAGTTCGTGTAGAAGCGAGTCTGCTCAACAGCTTGTTATTTGGTGGATTGTGGCAGTAAATCGGGCGAGTGGGGAACCGGGCGCAGGAACTGCCGCCACGGCCGGGAGTGGTGCTGCCCGGACGGGGGCCCACGGGGGTCAGTGGGGCGGAGGACTCGGGAGCTGACAGCGCGCACTTCACCCGCAGTTGGTAGGTGGTGAGAAGGGAAGTGGGGGATACTGAGTGGACGAAGCGGCAGTAGCAGCTCGTGCTGCTGCCCGGGGTCCCGGTGCAGTTGGAAGCTTCGGAGGTGGGGAGGGGGTGCTGGGCAAGCGGTGCGGCGAGCGCAGGGGAAGAGGCAAGTCGTGGAGCAGGGGCAGCAACTGCAGGAACGGCCGCCGCAGCCACCTCCTCGGCGGCTTCCCGGGGAAAATGGCTGTGGGGCTGGCCGCGCCGCTAAGTTTGCTTCCGCGCGGTGAGGAGCAGGCTGCTTGGGGGAGCCGGTCCCCAACTCCGCGGCGCGTCCTCCCCTGTGGAGTCCGTGGCAGGACCCGAAGGGCCGGGGGCAGGTACCTCTCTGGGCTGTACAAAAAGTTGAGGCGGGCGCGGGGAGGAGGCGGCGGCTGCCGCTGTGCGGCTCCCCTCCCCTCCCACACCCTCTCCGGGCCACCTCCCCTCCTCCTCTCCGCCCCCCCTCAGCCCCCTCCCTCGCGCGGGTCTCCCCTCACTCTCGCGCCTCCCGGCTGAAGGCCGCGGCCCCTGCCCCATCGGTGAAGAAGCGCTTCTCCTTTCTGACATGGTGCAGAGCGGAGGAAGGAGAGCAATGGCGCCGTGACACTCCGCTGCCGCCACCGCGGGCCCGGGGCGGGCCGAGGGGGCCGAGCGGCGGAGGCGGGGCGCGGGCCGAAGTCGGGGTATCTGGGGAGGCGGCTGAGCGAAAGCTTGGCGACCCTGCCTGGGGGGGACCTGGGGAAGCCCACACGGCGCCCTGCCCTTCTCCAGAGCGCTCGGTCCTGGGGCTCGGAGTTGGGCATTTCGGGTCAAAGTGGCGAGCGAGGCGGGGGCGCGGTGGGCCGCTGGCGAACTCTGGGGAGGAACGAACTGCCCTTTGGCGCCCGAGGGTTTCTCGCTGTTTCCTCAGCTCCTGCGTCCTGGCTGCCCTCCGGGGGATCTTATCCTTCGCGGGTGAGGGTTCTGCCCCTCCCCGCTGGCGTTTGTTTACTTTCTTTCCTTGGGTCGCTCCCCTCTATTGACTGATTCTGTTCCTGTCTTTCCCTTCCCCATGGTTCTAGCGACGGAGAAGATAGCTCGCTGAGCTGGAACCCCACAGATCACCAGTAAAAATGAAGGTAAGTGGAGTCAGCGCTGCTCCGAACCTCGTGCCCTGGACACGGCTTGTCGTGAGGCTAGTGCTGTGGAATGTCATTTTTTTTTTTTTCCTACTCAAAATTGATTCCTCTACTAAGCAGCGCTTTCTGAAAATGAGGACGTGTTGAAAGGGTGAGAAATGATCATTGTGTCTAATGCAGTCAGTCCGGCTCCTCTCTGAAGCAGTTAGCAGTTTGGAAAGGCTGGTGCAGCCTTTCCATTGTTGTCCATTGGGCTAGTATTTTTAAACACTTCCTGTGTTGGCAGCAACCTTTGCAGAAGTAAAGCTTTTGTCCTGTTTTGGTTCTTTGGGGGATTTTTTGAAATTTTTTTTTTCTTCCAGAGTGCCAGTATGATTTTCTAAGGAAGGAATATGTGCATTGTGTAAAGGAGAGGTCATTTCTTCTGTGAAAAATTCTGTAGCTAAAATATTAGGGGTATTTTTCAAATTATTAATGACATTAATAAACTATAATATTAATGTTCTTACTACTTTAATGTTTAACTGAAACATTAGTTTCAGTTCAGTCATTATAGTAAACATTTTAAAACCAAGATACGTTCTTCTGAAGATAGCTAATAGTGCACACATCGTATGTGATATTTAAAGGGAAAGGAAGTTATAGCATTATGTAGTACAGTGGCCTTTAATATTTCAAGTCAGATATTTATTTGCCAAAGTGTTCCTCTTCAATTTGCATTATTTGTAAATGCACTGACTTTAAAAGGTACTTGATTCCTTACTCATTTACTGTTTCATTGTGTTAAACTCTGCAATATAGCATTTCCCCAAACTTTCTCTTCTTATCTTTTGGAGATGACACGTTACCTTCTTTAATGTTACTTGGGAAAACTTACTGGAAAAGGAAAAATCATTTCTGCTTGCAAGTGTTATTTCTGAAGTGTACACTGTTACCTTTGTGCTTAGCTATATTGAATCGAGTCTATATGAATACATTTAGTTTTTGAAAAGAAATACGTAAAGTGAAAGACTTAGAATAATCATCATTCTGTTACTGCAAGATTAAAATGAATGGCAGAATGAAATTTCGTACATCTTTCAATGTATCACTCTGATCATGGCCATTTGCTAAAAGTAGAAGTTTTTTAGTAAAGCTTATTTTTTTAATATATCAGGAAGATTAGGGTGATAAACTACGTACAGCCCCAAGTTTTGAGCCATTAGTTCATATATCTGCATTTATCAGCTGACTTAGACTAAGATTTTTTTAAATGTAGATTTCAGCCAATGATTCCCCCAAGTATTGCTCTCCTTATGGAAGGGATTGGCTTCATTTCTTATCTATGCGGTTATACCGTTACCAAAAAGATACTGCTTTAATGTAGCTGTGTTAATAAACATTTAACTACATATTGTTAGCATTAATCTTAATAGCAGTATTTCTTCTAATTTGAAAACAAAACTTTCAGGCCATAATTAAATAATTTTAAGTTTTATGAGGCACTTGGTATGAATATACCTTTTCTGGTTTGGGAGGCTTTTTTTTTTTTTTAACATTTTAAAAAAATATTTTATTTATTTATTTGAAAGAGAGAAAAAGAGAGAGAGAGAGAGAGCATGAGAGTGGGGAGGGTCAGAGGGAGAAGCAGACTCCGTTGCCGAGCAGGGAGCCCGACGCAGGACTTGATCCTGGGACTTCAGGATTATGACCTGAGCCAAAGGCAGTCGCCCACCCGATTGAGCCACCCAGGCGCCCGTTTTTTGGTATTTTGTACTTTATTATTTTTTAAGTAAGTTCTGTACCCACCATGGGGGGTGAACTCACCACCCAGAAATGGAGAGTCACATGCTCTGCTGACTGAGCCAGCCAGGTGCCCTTGTTTTTTGTTTTCTTTTTAAATATGTTCATTTCTTAAATAAATTGTAGAATTGTTGAAACATTTTGTATCTGGAGGAAAAAACATGATCATATGACCTTAGTGAAACTTCTCAGTTAAAACTTAAAATGTTTTGTTGTCAGGACATAGTTTATAGTAGTAAAGGAACGTAATTGCTTGCTTTAGGGGTATTTTTCAAATTATTAATGACATTAATAAACTATAATATTAATGTTCTTACTACTTTAAATACAGAACCTTTTAACGAATGAGGTTTGAGGTTGGAAGTAGGGGAGAATAGTAGTGACATTCACATATTATGTTCTTCCATCAGGCGGCGGATGAGCCTGCCTATCTGACAGTGGGAACTGATGTCAGTGCCAAGTACCGAGGTGCCTTCTGTGAGGCAAAAATTAAGACTGTGAAAAGGCTGGTAAAAGTTAAGGTAATTTTTTTTTTTTTTTAATTTAAATGCAACCTGTATTGAAGAGAATTCGGGATGGGGACACTGCAAATCAGCATTTTATTGAGTCATTTTTATGTGAAAGGACTGTTGTATACAAAACTATAGGAAAAGCACATTAAAAATTACGAAATAAGGAACTCAAAATGAGAAGTTATTCCAAAATGCTTCTCTGAAAATACAATGTTTATGAGACTTATATTTGGCTCTCTGCTGTTGTGGCATGTTTACTTAGGCTGTGATCTATTTTCTTCTCTTTCATAATGTTCAGGTAGAGACGATGTCAAATGATTAGGAAAAATAATATAGTTGAAATTGTTTTTAAGACATTGTTAAAAATGATTTAAGAATTTTATTTTTAAGATGCTTTTATGACCAGAAAAAAGTCACCACATTATTCCTGTGCAATATTTGGAAATACAGAAAAGTACCAAAGGATTAATACCCATAGCTTACCTCTCAGAAACTACTATTAACATTTTTGTGTTTCCGTCCAGTAGTTTTCCTATATAAATGTTTTTAATAATCTTACTTAAATTACAAGTGTAATCCATGTTTATTATAAACATTTTTAACATTATAGAGCTGTATAATAAAGTTCATGAATGTCCTCTTCGGTACTACTCCAGAGAGACTCAATATGGCCTGTCAAATACTGTATAGTGCCTACCATAACAGTATTATTATTGTTGTTGTTGGATCATGTTGTACTTTCAGTTTTGCAGTTTGCTTTTCACTTCCATATCTGATCTTTTCTTACAAGAATTAAGCACCATAAAAGGAGGACATGTTAGACTTGTTCTGTCCTCAACACTAGAGTAGCGCTTGATACATAGTAGGGCACTATACATAGTAGGGCACTCAAAATATGTTGAATGAGTAAATGACCTGGAGCAGTTATTCTCAGAGTGTGGCCTTGGACCAGCAGAATCATCTTTATCTGGGAACTTGCTGGAAGTGCAAATGTTCAGGCCCAGACCCAGACCTACTGAGTCAGAAACTCTGTGACTAAGGTCCAGTGATTGTATTTTAACAAGTCCTTCAAGTGTTTCTGCTGCATGTTAAGTTTGAGAACCATTGAACTAGAAGAATATGATTTGTGTGGCAGATAAATAGATTTATCTGTGATTATTATGAGATATCTTTTTAAATTTTGATCTGATGAAATTTTTCTTCAGGAATTGTTACAGTATCATTTGACGTTTATTCGTTTCAATTGGCCTTTTTTACTGTGTCAGCTATATGGGATTTGATTACTGAATATTTACTTGGATTTTGTTGAGAATTTAAACTTTCTATTAATATTGTGGTCTTGATATATTTATGTAAAATCGGTACAGTGATGGGGGAGGACGTGTTATACATTATAGGGAATTTCAGTTTTCATATTTTGAGTACTTGCTCTGTGTGCATGATTATTACACTGTATATTTGGGAGGATTTATAGTAAAAAAAGAGTTCTTATTTGTCACTGAACTACCTATCATGATTATTTAGGTTTACTTTATAAACGACCAACAGTGTTCTGGTTTTAATTTACCTTGAATGTGGGCAATAAAAGTTTGATACTGTTTTTTATATACTTTGTGACAGAACCTTTTATAACTTGATAAAAAAGAAGGCAGCTTTAAACTTTTACAGTAATCACTACAAATTATAAATCTCACATAGTTCATTAATTCAGCAAACATTTATGAAGTGCCGTAATATGCACTGACATTTGCTGACTGCTGAGGATATAATGGTGAAGGAGGATTCTAGCCCTCAAGGAACTCACAGTTAATGAGAGAGACAATAAACACAAATATAAGACAATGTAATAAGTAAGTAAAACAGGAGTAAGCCCAGGATGGTAAGAACATGTAGATTAAAGACTTCAGACTGCATAAACATGTTGTTTTAAAAGTAATATGCAAATTATTGTGCAAAAAATGTTTTCCAGGTACTCCTGAAACAGGATAATACTACACAATTGGTGCAAGATGACCAAGTAAAGGGTCCTTTAAGAGTACGTATGTTCTGCAGTTTAAAGTTTGTAATGATAAATCACAAATACATATGGTCAATTACTGAATTTTACTTTCATAGATAGTTTTAGAATTTATAAGAATGTTAATCAGAAAATAAAAATACAAATGAAGTGTTAATAGAGTTAGTATAAATTCTATTACACTGGCTGTATCCTTAGTTTAGAAAGATAAATCATCTTACCAGAGGGTAATTTAGTATATATAGACATGAGTTTTCAGCCACCTTTTGTTTTGATCTCTTGGATTGAATATCTTAGCGTTGTCTTCAGAGATATTTAGCCTGCTAAGTAATATACTAGTATCATAAGTTGGAATCTTTTGTTGTTCTAACGTTTCAAGTAAAGTATATTTACTTCATAATTCAATTTAGTGGATACCTATATTGTGTTTTCCATCCATTTCTGGCCATTTGTTGATGTAATAAATCTTTGTTATGTCAGAGTACCACTTCGGTTAATATCTCATTTATCTGATATATCTGATATGGAAGCTGAAAGAAGGTCAAGTGGTCCATCCCTCTCTCTACAGGTGAACCTTTATCTAAAAGGTCCCTTAAAGACGAATGTTGAATCCAATATTCAGTATTTCTGTGAAAGAAAATTGAAGCTACTTTTGTTATCTTATGGTTTTCTGGTTCTTGCATTCCACAATTTCCTTGAAGGCAATGTGATGTAGTATAAAAGCTCTGAAGTAAGACTTAAGAGACTGGGTTCTTGTCATCTCATCTGAGCCACAGTATTCAATGTGTAAAATAAGGGTAATAATAACCTTACATGTATCAAAGCATTTTGAGGTTTAAATTGCATGATAAATACATGAGCACTATAAATGATAAAGATCTAAGTCAGTGTGAACTAGAATTATCGTAGGTATTTTTTTCTTTTTAACCCAGGTCATAAAGTTGGTGGGAATGATTTGGTTTATTTAAATTTGGTAATAAAATTTTGATACTGGGTTTTAGGTTGGAGCTATTGTTGAAACAAGGACATCTGATGGATCCTTTCAGGAGGCTATTATCAGCAAGTTGACAGATGCTAGTTGGTACACTGTGGGTAAGTAGTTAATTTAATACATGGAATTTAATTTGGGATTGCATATACCTGTATTTTGTAAATACACTGAATTATGTTGACAGAGAAATATGTATTCTTTACTGTCAGTTTACTTGATATAGTTGTTAAAATTTTAATGACACCTGCTGGCAACAAAAATAATTACCTCTTTGGTCACTTGGTACTATTTCATCCAAGAATGTACTTCTTTTTTAGGCTACCTAGATTATTTCTTTTTAAGAAAGTTAAGTTATATGGTTATTTTCTTCCATTAGAAGGTTGATACAAGTTAGTATTGTAACTAATCAGACTTTTTTACCTTTCCTATAATTACAGTCAAGATTGTACAGTTGCAGTCTTTTATTGTATTGCTGCCTATTTTACATAAGGGTAATACAGATGTTACCACAGAATTTAAAGCCTAAAAAAATTCTAATCAGAGTAGATTCAAGTCTAGATGATCATAGCTTAATTTTTGATTTTTTGATCCAGTCAAGTCTCCGTACACCTTTCAGGAAAGATACATGTGCTGCTAATGAGAATGCATACTTAACATTCCATGCATAAGCTTATACTGGCTATAAAAAACTTTATTGCCGTGAGTAGCAACAAGTGTCTTAATACATGTAAACTAAAACCTAAATGTAGTAGTTACATAGTTGCTGTCATTATGTTGATAAAAATAACAATGATTAACATTTCCAAATCTCTTCTCAGTACATTGAAACTACACAGTCCTGGGGATAATAATCCAGTCCTTTGTTTTACACTAAACATCTATACCATTGTTTGGTTTTTACATTTATGTCCTGGTATAAGTGATGTAATTATGATGTGGTTTCCTTAAAGAAGGAAAATAAATGATCCTATAGGTTTACTTTTAGTTTACTTGAATTGTTGCTTTGAGTAAAAATCATTCATCTTCCGGTGATGCTCAAAGCTGTGAAGTACATGCTTTGGTTAAAAATTGTTCTTCCTAGGTCTTAACTCTGCAGTTTTTATTAGCAGTAACAATTTGTTCTATGTAACTACTATTTTCTAACCATTTTTGTTCTTCTTGAACCTCCTAGAAATTGATGTTGGTTCACAACAGTGCTGGTATTCTGAACTACTTATTTTTAGGTAGCTTAGTTGTGGCTGTTGATAGTTGTTAGAGATTTAAAACTAAGTTTAATCTTAACTCTTAGAGATCAAGTAAATACAATTTTACTATATTAAACCAGTGGTAAAAATTACAGGCATTCATATATGCAAAATTATGCAAGATTATATAATGCATATTCAAATACTAATATTGCATCCTCTTTGGTGCTTAATAACGAGGCTTCATTGACAGTACTTGTGAAGTTTTACTGATATAATGCTTATGCTTCTGCAGAAGCGATACTTTTCAGGTTTTCACATTTTGGGCTTCTGCACTCCAGAATAACAGATCTTTATCCTCTTATGAATGGCATTTTAGCATTTCTAAAAGCTAGTTGCTAGTGAGCATTCTCTGTGGTGATTTTCTATGATGGGTAATTACAGAAGAAATTGTATAATTCTTGTTCTGAAAGAGCGTAGAATCTTAATTGCATGTAATTCGTGTATCAAGTATTAGTGTACATAAGAATCACTTGGTGCTTGTTTTAAAAAATGAGGATTTGAGGACTTCAAATCTCTTTAGTTTACTAGGTCCTGGGATGGCAACCCAAGAATCTTTCTTTTTCTAATTACATTGGCTGAACTTAATGCAGGTAATACACATTTAGTAAAATAGTCAATACTTGGAAAAACAGAGACTTATTCAGGAGAAAAATTCAAAATATTTAAGTGTTTTTGCATCTGCATAATGACAGCAAGTGACCTAAAAAATTTAAGATGTTAAAAAGCATGGTTCTCTTAAGTATGTTTAATAAAGCACTCTGCCCTAAAGAATATTTAGGTCCTGAAGGATGTAGCCCATATAAAGAACGATGAGAGCATAATGAGCCTAAAAGATGGCAAAATAAAATGTGTCCTCTCTTACAGATCATGAATGTTCTATATTTTTCTTTATTTGAGTGACTACTACCTTTAATTCCTTTTTTCTGAAAATTTTGTTTTCTACTTGCTAGTAAAGTATTATCTAAGTAGAATCAGAAAGTTACACAAAGTATTAATGATTTCCATATCATTTTTAAAAATTTTAAGTGATCTCAAAATTTGACTATTAGAAACAAAAGAAAAGAGGATACCATGCTGCCGGTTTGGATCAAATAAGAGGTGTGATCATTGGTGATCAAAAATTATCTGATGAGTCTGATAATATCTTACATACTTAGGTATATTTTCTGTGATAGTTGAATAGCCAATTTTTAATTGGCTAATATAACCTAATTTTTAAAAAATCTATTAACACCTTGCCCTCTAATATTGAATAATAAATAGCTCCAGTTGATGGATTTTTTTTGTTTCTTTGAGCCTCAGAAATAGTTCCTCTTCCTATCATAAAACAGTGTTTCCTAGCATAATTTATTCATTTGGCAGTTCTTGTCTTTGCCTGAAAGATATGTGTAATGTATGGAAATGTATTACCTGTCTAGTCATTCAAAAGGTATCAAAATTAGGATGGAATTTGTATCTTCACTTGAATGTTGCCATTAACTCCTGGTAAATACAGTTGTCAATAGGACATTCTAAAACTATTCTTCTTTCGCCTTTTTGGAATATAAAAATAACACAGTGTACTTGAAAAATAGGAAAATGTAAAGGACAGAATTGTTATTTTAGTAATTTACATATAAAATGCATATACACATATATGTAATGTATCAAATTTTACACTAAAATCTATTTGATAATGGGGCACCTCAGTGGGTCATTCGGTTAAGTATCTAACTCTTGGTTTCAGCTCAGGTCAGAATCTCGAGGTCCTGAGATTGAGTTCCGTGTTGGTCTCTGCACTCCGCATGGAGTCCGCTTGAGATTCTCTCTCTACCTCCCCCTTCATGCTATTGCATGCGCTCTCTCTCTCTCTCTAAATTGAAAAAAAAAATCTATTTGATTATTTATATATTTTTGCGACAGATGCTTTTTAAGACTCAGGATTTTTTCATGTCTTGTGATTACTGTTTTGCATGTCAGTTGGATCAGATCTCATGGAAGTTTTAGTTAATGGAGTAGAGGAGGTTTAGATTAAACTGGTGAATGGACTGATTTTTGTAGCATGTGCTGCTGGCTTATAAGGCTTTTTAATTTAGTTAGGAGCTCTTATGACAAGTTTTTTTATTACCAACATCGATCACGAATGTTTTCAAAAACCGGTGGTTATTCCACTGACTAGAAAATCACTAGGAAAAGAAATACTAAGCCAAAAGAAGCCTATGCATTCCTGTGATACGCTTTAACCTGTTGATTAAATGGCCTTCCATAAGAATTAGCATTCCCGTGATACTTTGTCAATTTCATTATACATTTGAGTGCTAATTTCTTAAGTTTCTTGATTTCTGAAGTTTTTGACCTTGGCTGCAGAGGGACTTCTGTATCTCAGATGATTTTATGTAACAGAACTATTGGTTATACCTAAGGTATGTAATTTTTAAAGTTTTTATTCCATTATGTGAAATAGTTTCTTAATATGTACATGTAGATATAAAAATATTTTACTAATTATAACTGCTATACACAGATATAATAATATTTTTGTGAAGTCAGAGTTCTTGACTTATTTTCCTGTGTTCATTTTATGCCTCTGCTTCATGCCTATTTTGATCTGTCTCAACAAAACTGTAGCTTTCAGATTCTCAGTTTCTTTATAAAAGGAAGATAGTGATTCCTACGTTGCAGAGGCTGTTGTGAGGATTAGTACCTGATAGAAGCTTAATAAGTGATATCTAATTATATCTTTGGAGAGATAAAGTTAATTTACTGTTGTTCTCTTACTGTCCTCCAGCATCTAACAGTGCTGTAATCACAGGTAGAGCTTTTGTATTTAGTAGATAGATCCCCTGTTGCTTTTGTTTCTTTTAACAGTTTAGAGTTAGGGTTTGTGTATTTGTTTGCATAGGCATTTTTTTGTCTAGTATGAGCAACATTATTGAGAGAGACTTAGCTTTGTCTTTTTTCTAAAATTATGTTTCAGTATTTACAGTAACATAGTAATAGAGGTATCACTTTTTAAAAAATTATATATTTACTTGAGAGAGAGCACATGAGTGGTTGGAAGGGGCAGAGGGAGAGGGAGATGCAGACTTCCCACTGAGTAGGGAGCGCAACCTTGGGCAGTCCTAGGACTCTGAGATCATGACCTGAGCTGAAGGCAGACACCTAACTGATTGAGCCACCCAGGTGCCCCCAGAGATACTGCGTTTATACTCTTTAGCACTCAGTAGTCCATTCAGATGCCAGTTTTGACTAGTATAAAACATTTCATAGAATTACTAAATCCTTATAGTCTGAATATTTTCTCTTGGCATACTGTAGTATACATCTTGAACTAAAAAGAGCTGTATCTACTATCTACACCAGTTAATTATTTCACTCTTGCCAGAATGCCAGAGTCATTCCTCAGTGCCTGCAAATTTGGTGTTCTTTAGATGATACTTCTAACACGAAAGTTCTAGAGGAAGTTTTTTATAGATGGAACTTCCTCATGATTTTGATAATCAGGGATGTCATGACTAATAGTTTCACTATGATGTTGACTTTTCCATCTTTCAGGAAATCTTGAATGGTTATAGAGCTTTTCAAACTTGTATATAGTACTTAAATACATGCCTTTGTATGTTTTAGGAGTTAAAAATAAATTTAAACTGTTTCTCTTTGTTCTCTCAAAGTTGTAAGTATTCCTGTGTGAAACTGTGAAATTATTATTGGTACTACAATTCCCTTTAGAGAAGTTCTTTTTGTTCTTACATTATTTCTACCCATGGTAAAGTATGTTGAAGTGAAATGCATTTTTTCCTTCAAAAATCTGATTTATTTCGAAGTGATTTTTTTTAAAAAGCAAGAACTAAAGATACTGGAATTTTTCATCAGAGGGCACCTGGGTGGCTCAGTCAGTTAAGCATCTGCCTTTGGCTCAGGTCATGATCCCAGGACCTTGCGATCAAGCCCCATGTTGGGCTCCCTGCTCAGTGAGCTTGCTTCTCCCTCTACCTCTGTTCCTGCTCTCTCTCTCTCTCTCAAATAAATAAAATCTTCAAAAAATTTTGGAAATTTTTCATCAGATCATTTGATTTGCAGCTGCCATTGATTAATAATGAAACACTGAAAAACATCTTATTGCACAATTTAATATTATCCATTGGTCTTACAGTCTCATTTTCCTTCCTCATACCTCCACTTAAAGGTGTGTGCATCTGAGCGTGAATGTGTGTGTCTGTTGTTACCATCTTTCATATTGTAGGCATTAAGGAAAATTGGAACTTTCAAGGTTTTATTCTTGAATATATTTAGGGATATTAATACATGAATTATTTTAAATTTGGTACAATAATTTCATGATCTTGGATTTTTAGAGGAAGAGTGGTTTATTTATTAGACTTGACACCATATGAATCATAGTTTTGTTACAAATGTTTAGAGCACTGTTAATCAAGTGTAGATTAGTAATGTAATTGTTAGAGGATGTTGTGTTTTATCCTGTCATTGTGTCTGCAGGTGGTCATTAATTTCTGCATCGTTGACAGTGTATAACACAGCTCCTTTTGTGGAATCATTATGGTTCTTTGAGTATGTGCTTCAGGAACTTTTCATTTTCTCTGCATTGTCTCCTGCATGTAAGAGAATTTAAACTAGATGTCTTTAGTATAAGAGAAGAACTGACTGAGGTAGATAAATATTGAAGTTCAGTACTCTTACATAAGTTCTTAGCATGAAAAAAAATAAGTTTATGATTAAATATTATTAAAGTAATGTAGAATTTCCCGTTATTAATACTAACTCTGTTAGAATGGAAAAACCTCTAGAATTGTATTGGAATTAAATCTTAACGTCATTATTTTTGTCTCTATATGCCTTCCTATGTATATGTTATTTTCATAAGATATACACATATTAATTGATGTTTGTATTATAAGTATCTGAGGTAGGGATCTCATCTTTTTTATATTTTATTTCTTCATAATGCTGGGCAATCAGGTGTCTTCTGAGAGCATTTTTTTTTTTAGAGCTTTTTTAAAAAATAAACTTTGTATATGTTAGATGTTAAAATAAGAGTGCGTTTCTGAAAAATTAAACCTATAAAAATAATATAGCTAGTTATATGGAGAATTAAAGTGATAAAATGTTAAATTCCTTACCTCTATCCCCCCAATTTTTTTTTTTAAGATTTTATTTATTTATTTGACAGAGATCACAAGTAGGCAGAGAGGCAGGCAGAGAGAGGAGGAAGCAGGCTCCCTGCTGAGCAGAGAGCCCAATGTGGGGCTCGACCCCAGGACCCTGAGATCATGACCTGAGCCGAAGGCAGAGGCTTAACCCACTGAGCCACCCAGGCGCCCCTCTAAACTTTCTTTTTTAAGATTTTATTTATTTACTTGAGAGAGAGAGCGAGTGAGCAAACAGCAGAGGGAGAGGCAAACCCCCTACTGAGCAGGAAGCCCGATATGGGGCTCTATCCCAGAACCCTGGTATCATGACCCTAGCTGAAGGCAGACACTTAATTGACTGAGCCACCCAGGTGCCCTATTTCTAAACTTCTTACATCCTCTTCTAGCAAAAGAAAAAAATTGAATCTTAGGACTTTAGAATTTGGCAGCCAGTACTTCTACTATAGTAAGTTATCATGGAAATAAATAGAAGAGTCCAGTAATCCAAGAAACACTACCAGAAGGCAAACGGTTTCTCGAAGTAAGAGATACTTCATTGATAACTGTTGGGAACAAACCCATAATGCTTTTTTTTAAACCAGGTTTTTACTCATTTTTCTAGGATTAAAGGTAATAATTGTTGATTTGACTAGGTTGCTAATGGTTTAAAGAAGGTGGTTCTGTAGTGGTAGACATTGAACAAATGAATGGAGACACCTAAGCAGTTGGGGGCAGACATTTAACCTGCATCTGTTTGGCAGCTACAGAATGAAAAATGTAGTATGCACATTTTAAAAGGTTTTGAAAAATAACAAATAATGATTCTTACAAATGTGAAGCCGAGATAAATAGCAACAATAGCATTCTCTGCAGTGAAATTTTTACTTAGTGTGCATAAATTCTCTGGTATCTCTTGCTTATTTTAGTGTTTGATGATGGTGATGAGAGAACACTGAGACGCACTTCACTTTGCCTAAAAGGAGAGAGACATTTTGCTGAGAGTGAGGTAGGGTGCCACTGGTAGGCTTTTTTGGTTGAATAACTTCGTACATCGAGGCAAAATTTGATTTAATTTGTCTGTTGTTTCTTACGTAGACACTTGACCAGCTTCCCTTAACAAATCCAGAGCATTTTGGAACTCCAGTAATTGCGAAGAAGACAAACAGAGGAAGGAGGTCCTCTCTTCCTGTGTGAGTGTTTTCATATACGGTAATGTTACAGTTTTTACAACATTAACCAAATGATTTTTCTAGGATGGCTAAAATTGTTCAGGTAACTTTTCCATTGTATCTTGTATCCTTATCTTGGACATTTTACCTTGAGCAGATCTTGTTCTTAATTATTCCCATTGCTCTGTCCAAGAATTATCACAAAGCCTTTTTCAAAAAGGCTATTTTGTCTTGAGTTACTTTGCCAAATTCCTTAATTGATATGTTTTTCTCTATTTTAAGTGAGTATATATATTTCTCAACCTTTTCATCTCAAAAACACTTCAGACTTAAAAATTATACATAAACGTTCGGGGCTTCTAGGTGTCTCAGTCAGTTGAGCATTTCACTCTTGGTTTCAGCGCAGGTCAGGATCTCAGGGTTATGAGATTGAGCCCCATGTTGGACTCTGCACTCAGCAGGCAGTCTGCTTGGGATTCTCTTCCTGTCCTCCTTCCCTTACCCCCATTTGTGCACATTCTCTCTCTCTTTCACTGTCTAAAAATAAATCTTTAAAAAAAATTACACAATAAACTTTCATATACTTATCATCTAGATTCATTAACTTAAAATTTTTGGAACATTTGACTTATCATTCACTCTGTAGGTATATATGAATTATTTTTTATTGATAATTTTAATTGGTCAAACCACCTTGAGAGGGTTTTGCAAGCATCAGACCTACCTTTAAAAACTTTAAGGAAATTCTCTTACATAGTCAAAGTATGGTTATCAAATTCAGAAAATTTAACATTAATAGAATGGTATTATCTAATAATATGTAATCCATATTTCAGATTTTGCCAGTTGACCCAATAGTAACCTTTAGAAGCATCCCCTGAATCCAGGATCCACCCCAAGGCCATGCATTATACTTAGTTTATATGGTTCTTTTTTTTTTTTTTCTTTTAAGATTTTATTCATTTGAGAGAGAGAGAGCAGAGCTAGAGTGGAGGCAGAGGAAGAAGCAGACTCCTCCCCGAGCAGGGAGCCTGACATGGGATTTAGTCCCAGGACCCTGAGATGATGACTTGAGCCACAGGCAGATGCTTAACCAGCTGAGTCACCCAGACATCCCTAGTTTATATGGTTCTTAAATCTCCTTTCATCTGGAAAAGTTCTTTGGCTTTTTTTTTTTTTTTTTTTGTCTTTTCATTACCTTGACATTTTTGAAGAGTACAGGCCAGTTTTGTAGACTTGCTTACTATGAGTTTGTCTGCTTATTTTATTGTCCAGGTAAGTGACCTTAAACCCTCACATGTTTCTTTTTTTCTTTCCTTTTCTTTTTTTTTTTTTTTTAAAGATTTTATTTATTTATTTGATAGATCACAAGTAGGCAGAGAAAGGAGGAAGCAGGCTCCCTGCTGAGCAGAGAGCCCAATGTGGGGCTTGATACCAGGACCCTGAGATCATGACCTGAGCCAAAGGCAGAGGCTTAACCCACTGAGCCACCCAGGCGCCCCGCCTCACATGTTTCTTAATGCAATCTTTTCATAACCTGTTAGGAAATTAGAGTTATATTATCTGGCACCTGGCATACATAAAAAGTAGAAGGACAGTCTTTTTTAAAAAAAATGTACTGGCACAATAAGTAGTTCGTGGGGACGTATTTAGACTTTTCTGTCCCAGCTGGTGGTTGGCATAAGAGCAAAGTCCAAATCCTCATTCATCTAGTGACGTGGACTCAAGAGTTACCATGGATGGCTCAGGACTAGTTTGGGACCAGAGAGGTATCTATCTCTTCAATTTCAATAAGAATGAAGAAACTACTACTCTGGAGTAATCTACATTAGAAATTGAGTTGTACATGTTAAACTCCCACCACTCTGTCTCAGCAGTGGCTTATGTGAAGATCCTGATAAAGTTATTCTGACTTTTAGTAATGAAGATGAAAAAGAAGAAGAAAGTAGTGAGGAAGAAGATGAAGATAAGCGACGTCTCAATGATGAATTATTAGGAAAAGTTGTAAGTGTGGCATCTACATCTGAGAAGACTGATTGGTATCCTGCCTTGGTAAGTCAGATTTCTTGCAGAATTAATTAACCATTTAAAATATTTGTTAAAGGGGGTGCCTGGCTGGCTCATTCGGTAAAACCTGCACCTCTTGATCTCAGGGTTGTGAGTTCAAGCCCCACATTGGTGTGGAGCCTAGTTAAAATTTAAATAAATAAACAAGCAAATGTTTAACATGGATTTTTAAAAAATATTTAAAATATTTTGAAAGTATTAACATAAATTTAATTTGGACTTCATTGCAGAGTTGAGCAATCCTACTTAGGTCCCACATACTTCACTGTCTTCTCTTGTTATTTCTTTCTTTAATTTTCTATGAAGTTGTTTACTGGGATTTTTCAGCTCTCCCTTCAAAATGTGTCCAGTGGTCTCTTCTTATTCCTATTATCATTTTTTACTCACTTTATGGTAATTACCCGTAAGTTCCCTTAACTTGATTCCTGACCTTTTTGCTAAATTCATATTTTTCTAGAAGCAGTTTTTATAGAGAAATAGTTTTAATATACTGATTTAATCATGATAGTCCCATTCTCAAAAAAAAAACCGCCACAAAACATTCAGTGGCTGCCTTATGGATCAATTCTGCATTTTTTATTTATTTTTTTTTAAGATTTTATTTATTTGACAGAGAAAGAAAGAGGTCACAAGGAGACAGAGCGGGCAGAGAGAGAGGGAAGCAGGCTCCCTGCTGAGCAGAGAGCCCGATGTGGGGCTCGATCCCAGGACCCTAAGATCATGACTTGAGCCAAAGGCAGAGGCTTAACCCACTGAGCCACCCAGGTGCTCCTAATTCTGCATTCTTTAGATGGATATCTGAGGCCATCCCAGCTCTTAGTTTGTTTCTCATTTTCAGTGTAAGCTCTTTCCTCGGGTACTATCTTAACTGCTCCATGTCAGACACTTGACTCTTCTAAACCTTTACTCTTGCCTTAAATCAAATCAGTTAGTATTTACTGAGGATATGCAGTGAGTTCAGCTCTAAATTCCTAGAAGAGAGAGAAGTATGAATTTTGTAACACACTGCTCTCAAGAATCTAATTATATATATTTAGAGATTACATAGCTATTAAAGATTGTATAGTCCTTTTTCTTTTTTTCCATGAAGCCTAACACAGGACTTGAACTTATGATTCCTAAGATCAAGACCTGAGCTGAGCTTAAGAGTTGGACACTTAACAGACGGAGACATCCAGGCACCCTTCTGTCATAAATTTTTTTTTTTTTTTAAGATTTATTTGTTTGCCAGAAGAGAGAGAGAGCGCGTGAGCACACAAGCAGGGGGAGTAGCAGATGGAGAAGCAGGCTTCCCGCTGAAGAAGGAGCCTGATGTGGGACGTGATCCCAGGACTGTGGGATCACGACCTGAGCTGAAGGCAGACACTTAACCAACTGAGCCCCAGAGGCATCCTCCTCTATCATCATTTTTAAAACTTGGTGCAGACAGTAGAGTAGAACAGGGGGTGTTTGGGAAAGGAATGGTACACCTAGGTTTTGGAAATGGCAAGTCTGATGGGTTGGTAGGGAAATCTAGTCTTTGCTTCCTCTAGGAAGGTATGAGAAGAAAAGATGGGCAAGAGAATTATTTCATGAGCGGAATCAATAATACTTGGTAATACTTGTTTTCATTTTCTCCTTTTCCTACTCCTAAGATTCAGCTCGAGTCCTACCTTTTCTGCAGTCTCCCCTAACCACTCTAACATAACTGTGCCCCTTCTCTGAATTTTATATTTTGAATTTTGATATCACATATATTTCCAAAAACAGTGTTGGCAGAAAACATGTCCCAAATTAGATCCTTTAAAGAACCCAGGCCATTTTTTAGAGTTTTTTATGTGCATGTAAGTACATTATTCAGTTGCTATATATAAGTGATTTACTGTATATAAGAAAGGTCTGGAAATCCTTTGAGCCTTTCAGTCTTGATAAGTAGATAAGTAAATGGGTTTGGGTTCAGAATATTTAGGTCGTAATTTGCCACGAGATTTTTTTTTTTTTAATATTTATTTATCTGACAGAGAGAGATCACAAGTAGGCAGAGAGGCAGGCAGAGAGAGAGAGAGGGAGAAGCAGGCTCCCTGCTGAGCAGAGCCAGATATGGGGCTTGATCCCAGGACCCTGGGATCATGACCTGAGCCTAAGGCAGAGGCTTAACCCACTGAGCCACCCAGGCGCCCCATGTTTTTTTAATTCCTTTATTTTCTCAGCAGACTTACTGTTTGCCAAGTGATGTAGAAAATAAAAGACACCAATCTCATTTTTGATAATTTCATAATTTAATGCAGAGAATAATTCAAGTAACTATATATGCAATAGTATATGTTCAACATTAGGACATCTTGTCTTGAGAGATTACATTTATATAAAGGAGATCCAGAACACCTTCATGAAGCTGTTGCTTTTGAACTGAGCCTTGATGGATTTAAAGTTAGTTAAACAAAGCTTCTCTGGAGGACTTTCTTAGAGGGAATAAGATAAGTAAAAGCAGAGAAGCAAGGAGTTTGTTCATGGAACTGTTTCCTCTCGGAATCCATTTAGCTAAATATTGGACACAAATAAGGGAATCATAGGAAATAAGACTGGGAAGATAATTTGGATCTAGGCACAAGAGGGCCATAATTCTGCATAGTATTTTGCAGAAGAGTAACATCATTTGAGCTGCATATTTTGGAATGTTAATGAGACAGTAGTATGTTGACCAAATTGTTGGAAAGACTAGAAAGGTGAGGTAATTAAGCTCTGTCTGTGCCTACTCATCCTTTAAGACCTGACCTTAAGCCTTTGCTGCCATACCTTTTCCTTTCCTGAGTTGGGTTGAGTCTTCCTAGGTGTTTTCATATCTTTGTACTTACCCTCCATGGTGTTCTTTTTGTGTTTACCTCTCCATTATGGTGTTAGCTCCTTGAGGACAGACACAACTCTGTTATTAGTCTAATAACGACCAGCACCTAGCAGACTAACATTTACTGCCATCGGATTTTAAAACAGCCGATAGGACTGCAAAGAATTTTTAATTATCTGGATATATATCATTTAATATGATAGCCATGAGTCCTAATGACTGTTTAAATTTAAATGTAACTTTTTTTTTTCCTTGAAGATTTTATTTATTTATTTGACAGGGAGATAGAGAGCAAAAGTAGGCAGAGCGGCAGGCAGAGGGAGAGGCAGGCTCTTTCCTGACCAAGGAGCCCAATGCAGGGCTTGATCCCAGGAGCCTGGGATCATGACCTGAGCCAGAGGCAGTCACTTAACTGAGTGAGCCACCCAGGTGCCCCTAAATATAAATGTAACTTAATTAAAATTACACAAAATTAAAAATTCAGTCTCTAAGTTGCACTACCCACATTCAGGTGCTTAGCAGTGCACCTACAGGACATTTCCATCATTGCATAAAGTTCTGTGGATAGTGCTAGGTTGTAGCAGAGGAGCTGGTGTTAGGGATGATAATGAGTAGATAAATTTCAGCAGTTTATTAGTAGACTAATTTTTTAAAAAATTTAAGTGCTTTAAAAAGTATATAGTGATTAGCTATTTACTAATGTTAAGACATTTGCTATTTTTAAAAATTAAGAAATTAGGGGCACCTGGGTGGCTCAGTGGGTTAAGCCTCTGCCTTTGGCTCAGGTCATGATCTCAGGGTCCTGGGATCGAGCCCCACATCATCAGCGGAGAGCCTGCTTACCCCTCTCTCTCTCTGGCTGCCTCTCTGCCTACTTGTGATCTCTCTCTGTCAAATAAATAAATAAAATCTTTAAAAAAAAAAGTTAAGAAATTAAAAAGTTCTTAGGGGATGCCTGGGTGGCTTGGTCATTAAGCTTCTGCCTTCACCTTAGGTCATGATCCCAGGGTCCAGGGATCAAGCTGCTCATCAGGCTCTCTGCTCAGCGGGGAGCCTGCTTCTCCCTCCCTCTGCTCCACCCCCTGCTGGCGTTTCCTCTCTGGCTTTCTCTCTCTGTCAAATAAATAAATAAAATCTTTTATAAAAAAGAAAAAAGTTATTACTCAGATTTTCTTTGATTTGTTTTCATTACTAAAATTTGTAATGCTCTCGTAGGAAAGGGAACTTAGGTGTTTTTTTAGAACCTAGGTGTTTGAACAAACAGGATTTCAAAACAGTTCTTGATTGAAGTGTATTTTTAAAACATTATAATGTGTTGGAATATGTGGGTGGCTCAGACTCTTGATTTTGGCTCAGGTCATGATCTCAGGGTCCTGAGATTGAGCTCTGAGTTGGGCTTTGTGCTCACTGTGGAGTCTGCCTGAGATTCTTTCTCTCCACTGTCTTACCCCCATGGCCCTCCTCCACCTCACACATTCTTTCTTTCTTTCTCTCTCTCTCTAAATAAATAAAATCTTAAAAAAAAATTATATTCCACATTTTCATCATGGATCATATGTTTTACTTTTTGGACAATAAATACGTAGCTTAGAATGAATCCTAATTTTTTGAAGTGGTGGTCACATTGTAATTTATATTGTATTAACTATTCACTGTATAATCTAATGGCTGAATAAATTTAATATCTAGAAAACCAGTGTACTAAATAATAAAAATAAATAAAAAGAAGGTAGCCTTCTTTTTTAAGTAGCTCATTTATAATGGAAATTACTGACATTGAAACGATTTCTTACAAAAGGTAATCCATTTGAGAAGTGAAGGGGATCTGGAATTATTCTTTTCAAAAAATTATGTTTTTTAGCAAGGGAAATTAGGAACCAATCTGTTCTTCTTTTATATTTCAGGTAATATCTCCCAGCTGTAATGATGACATCACAGTGAAAAAAGACCAGTGTTTAGTTCGATCATTTCTCGATTCTAAATTGTGAGTCACTTAATAGTGTTACATTGGGAGAAAGAAAATGAAAACACAGTGATAAACTCTTCCACAGTCCAAGCTTTATTTTTAAAAGTCTGATCATTTCATGAACTGAGAAGTCATTACATAATATGGTTTACTTTTTGTAATGTAAGTTACTTTTTCTGAAAAATTTTATATAAAAACTGAACAATATGTGAGAATAATATTGAAAAAGTTTCATTAAGCATGGTATTGGTTTTCTCTTCAATTTTAAAAATTTGGTATTTTTATTATGTATGCTATTCATATGATGAACTATGAAATTTACTTTTCATAGAATTTTCTTAGAATATTACTAAAATAATTATTTTGACTTTTTTTTAAGTCACATTTTTAGAAACTTTAATCTCTGCTTTGTTTCCCAAAAAGGATGTAAAAAAAAATTATGTGTGTGTGTGTGTGTGTGTGTGTGTGTGTGTCTGTGTCTAGAGAGAGAGAGAGATGTAATTCTCTGGAAAATTTAACATATCTTACAGTGATAAAAATATTTTAATATTACCTTCTATTATTATTATTTTTTTTTACTAAACTGAATAGTAAATTTAAGAAATAACAAAAATCAAAACAGACATTGTGGCTTCTATAAGGAAAATACCATGCTGGTATAAGGTACCCCATACCGTGTGTAGGAAGGTTGCACAGATTAAAGTATTATAAATGTAGGGCTTCAGATTAGTGTATTTTGATTATATGAATCTTAAGAATTAAGATACTAGTTTTGCATATATTTACCTCCTGCCCTTTATTAAGGATTAGGACATACATGGTCTTTTTAAAACATAGGCAAAATAATTTTGATTTTGAGGTTTATATTTTTCTATGTGTTAATATTATTTAAGTGATCATTTTTATTTAATAATGGTTTCCCTTCCCTTTATTCTTCTCTGTAATTAGTTATTCTATAGCAAGAAAAGATATCAAGGAAGTAGATATTCTCAGTCTACCTGAATCTGAGCTCTCTGCTAAACCAGGTAATATAGGAATGACTCAATCCATTATTTCATGATGTGGCTTTAAATGGTAAATAATGACTAAACCAAGACTGAATATTCTCTGGTGCCATTTTCGTTGTTTAGAGGTAATACCTACTCTTATTTGATGGCTATTTTTTTAGTGGCTAGATAAAATATTTTACTTGTAATTTTTAAGTAAGTTAAATTTTTCATGTTTTACCGTTAATTTTTTAACAGTATCTTCTAGAGTAATAATAAACATTAATATAACATTATGACTCAGATATATTGAAGTCTACTGTATCATTTTATAAGGGACAGCTGAATTTGAGTCCAAATCTTCTGACTCTGAATGTTTTTCTATTATTCTACGTTGCTAATTCTATTATTCTATGTATGCTATGTTGCTAATAACAACTGTTTATTCTTAGGGCTACAGAAAGCAAGCGTCTTCTTAAAAACTAGAATTGTTCCTGATAATTGGAAGATGGATATAAGTGAAATCCTTGAATCATCCAGTAGTGATGATGAAGATGGTCCAGCTGAAGAAAATGATGAAGAGAAGGAAAAGGAGGCCAAAAAGGAAGAAGAAGAGGTGGTAGGTGAAATTTTATGTTTGTGACATAAAGTCATTTTAATACTTTAAAGTAAATATTACTGCCTTTGTATATTTTCCTCATTTAGATGCTCTATATTATTTGTTTCTGCCTTTTTCTAGCTCACATTGATTTGGTGATTTTTTTGGATTCTAACTTAGTGGGTAAATCAGAACTAATTTTTTTTAGCAAACAAAGAACTTTTCAGGTTAAATAATCAAGTACAAACTTTTCAAACAACCAATGGAGAAAAGAAATATAACTTTTAGGTATATTACATGTGTTAACTCATTTGATAATTGTTACCATGTGGAATAACTAGTACTATCCTACTTTAAAGGTGCGGAAAGTGAAGGTCACAAAGGTTAAGTAACTTTCCCAAGGTTGCATGGTTCACATGTGGAAAATAGGGATTTGAACCCAGATCTGATCTGTCTGAATTTAGAAACCTTACCTCATTCAGATATTTTACAGTATCTCAAGAACAGTGGGGATTAAAAACCTACACAAACTGAAAGAATATTTCATTTGATAGTTTGATAAATCATACAAAAGAGATTGTTTTTATAAGTGCTAATGGGTTTTTTGGTAATAGGTCATTTAGGATATATATCTATAATTGTAGGAAATTATTCATGGACTTCCAACATCATAGCATATATGAATATTGTCTATTTATACAGCAATGTTTTGTCAAGTGGGATAAACTGGTAGTATATTTTTGGTTGTTATGAGGTAACGAGACCTAGGGACAGACAAAGAGAATGAGTTTACCAAAAAGAAGACCTATTTGAGCATGAAAAATGTTTGCTTAGAAAACGTGGAATGCTTGTTTCTGTTTTACATATACAATTATGAATTTATGAAATAAAATGAGTATACTTGTATGTGATGAAGGGCATGTGGTATTTCTTTCCTTTTACTTCCCCTGCAGTATTTGGTTTTTTGCACTCTGAAATCAGAATGGCGGTTCATACTTACAGGCTGCCTACAGAGTTGCCATAGTAACATGCTGTTGGTTTTAAGTGAGCATGCTCGGAAAGACAGGAAGGTTTAGCAGAGGCTTGGCAGGTTGCCAATGGAGGTTTGCCAGATGCTTTGAAATGGGCTGTCTTTCTTTTCCTTTCATGTAATGTCTGATTTTTATGTGGAAGAGAATGTAAGTAGTGCTGTATAACCCTGCGGATGCTATGCCCTAAGAGGGAAAGCAAATATTTGCAAGTCAGACTGAAAAATGTTCAGACACTGTACTGATTAAGTAGAAGGGGAATCTAACCATTTTGCATTTGAAAGAAAATGCAGCATATAGGTAAGATTTTTTTTCTAAAATATATTTAGTTACCATTTTGATTGCCAAAAACGGGATTAGATAAGAATTTTAGGTGTTGATGATGTGGCTAATAATGGTAGGGCTCATAACCAAGCGTAATTGTTTCTTGTAAAAGAGACAGTAGGAGTCTATTTTTAGAATATCAGAGGATGAAGGCTATTTTTCTGAAACATAAGATAGATTTTGAAATGAAAATGATAATGAGACAGTTTGGCAGAATTCAGGATTTAAAGTCTAAATATTAAATGTGATTTTTGTATTTTATCTGTATTTATTTATAGATTATATGTTTTCAGGATAAAATAGGCCACATTTTCAGGGTGTGAACTGTGGCAGTCTGGTTTTGCTTTTTTTTTTTTTTTTAAGAATTAGCATTAGTTAGGATCTGATATTGACAAACATTGAAAAAAGATTAGTTTATTTTTGCTAATACTTTTAATTGGTGTCCCTTTTAGAATGCATTTTCTTTACTCCCCACCCCCCAAAAAGCAAACCCTGAAATTTTAAACAAAGAGAGTTAAAAGAGCTTTATAGTAAGATTGGAAAAGATGGCTATAAAATAGTAAATAGTAAATAGTGTTCTTATTACAGCTATTAATTTAATAAAAATCACAGCATTTTATTCAAGCTGTTAGTAAATGTTAGTAAAAAGGAATGAAGAGCAAAGGCAAGCTCTGTTACCTATTGTTTGCAGGTAATAAGTAAAGAAATTTAAAAAGGTAAGGACCTTTGTAAGGGATAGTATCTTCTTAAAATGTGTTACTTAAATTATGAACCTGTTAAAATTAAGTGGAAAAGAATGCTTTTCATCTACTGAAAAATAAAAGTAGAATTACCACATTTAGGCACTGAGTTGTCTGTTAAATTATTTTCCAGATGGCCAATTTCATAGCATCTACTTTATTGAATTACTTGACAGGAACTAATTCCTCTTTTTTTCTGGCCATAGAGGTAGATTTCTTGAGTGAGATTTTGGTTGCTTTAGAAAAAAAAAATCAGCTGCATTTCTTGCCCTTGGATTTAAGATTTAGTTGCTGAATCATTCTAATTTGCCTTGCACAGTAATTTTAAAAAATTTAATGTATTGATAAACTGAAAAGCAGTTTAGTCTATATTATAACAAAGGAAAAAAAGTGGGTCGGTATAAAATTAATTAAAGTCTGGTAAGCCAGGGCCTACCTGGCTTAGTCATTACAGGCCTTTACCACATAGGTGAGGCTAAGCTGTTGTATTACATTGTAGATCATATTCTTCCTGAAATGTAGTAATGCTGTGCTTTTCATGAGAATTTATTGTTGCTTTATAATGATAAAAAAAGCTCTTTAACATTGTGCAAGCCACCTTAACAGGACTTTAGCTTGTCATTTGATGTTTGTAAATTTTATGCAGTAGAATCATACAAGTGTTAGATACTTCTGCAGTGTTAATGGACGGTGGACATTGTTTTTATGTTTAATGCTTTTGAGTGCCCTAAAATAGCCTAAATAAGATTTGAGGTTCATGGCTTTACGTGGAGGAGCATCTTTTTTACTTAATATTATTTTGAATTCCTAAGCATTTGTAGTTCAGGATTGGAATATAAGAAATATGTTTCATACTGTTAACTGGGTAGGAAAAGACCTGATAGTCTGACAGGAAGTAGGTCCAATCTATATTGAGGACTGTAAATTTTAACCTGTTGGTAATTATATTGAGAAAAAAGCCCTGGAGAATATTTTTGTAGGCATTACTTAAATGTCTTTTGTTAGGAAAATTTTATATTAGAAAAGATAACACTGATTTCCTTTTGAGCTTTGAAATTGAAAAGTCCATGTAAACGTAAGTAATTGTGTTTATTCGTAAGTTATTCATTTATTCCTTATATTCACTTTGGATGAATGTAGGAGAGTTGTCTAAGGATAAAGTGAATAGGGGAAGACATTTAGGGGGATTTGACTAGTTGCAGCCCTTCTGTCCTTTTAGTTTGCTATATGTAGCCTTATTGTTGGGCCCTTATAAAAATCTCTTCTAATTTCATATTTAGTAATGAATGTAAGAATTTAGTGCATTTTTATAAGAGATGCTGTTTTTTTTGTTTAGAAGTACTGACACCCATTTCTCCAATCTTTGAATTTTCTGGGGAATCACTATTATATCTGTTGACTAGGATTAAATTCCATTATTATAAACATCAGAGTGCTTTTGTTTTTTTATTTATGGAAACTGGAATTTTTTCTTATATGTAAATCAAGTGTTATTTGTATTTATGTTGCCTTGTAAAGGCATTTATTAGTGATCTTTCAAGATCACTTTGGGTAAAAACCTACAATAAATGCTTGATAACCCAGGAAAATTATGCTAAATCAATAAAAATTAAAGAAAAATTTAAAGGTAATATTAGCATTTTAGGTATATCTAGTAACTCCAGCTGTCAATCATGTTTCTAAGCAGATTCTATAAAGTCAATTTTCAATGAATAATTGAGATTTTAACTTTCATTAAAATATAATAACTTATTTGCAAAAGTCTTGAAGTTTAGCCTATTGGACAAGCAAACAAAAATGTCCTAATGTGTTTAGCAAGACCTTTCTTTACAGAATCAGTATAAGACCAACCAAATTAGGTTCACTTAATCAGATTTATGAGGATTGCACATTTGTATACACAATTGTAGCTTTATTTTTATGTATTTACAAAAAGTCACTTCTCAAATCAAATTATTTCATAGTTGTGGTAGCATGAAAGAGGGTTGACTGAATATAAAGCCTTAGATGAGATAGCGTCCAAAGTATAGCTTGATGATTAGAATGTGTGTACCTTTTCAAGTAGGGGGAAAAATGATTAGTCTTAGTCAAGTCTGATATAATACAAGAGTCCTATAATAATTTGTTTTAGGCAGATGGTTGTTGAACTGTTCAGCGAAATTTAAAAAGTGTCTTACCATATGATGAATATATCATGCCATCTTAATGTATTCCCTGAAATTTTCTGTTTCAGTGTACACAGCAGGGAAGAATGATACCTCTGTAAATTTTATGACTGCCAACTTTTGTTGAGCCTTCAACACCATTAGTCAATTCCCAGTTTCTATAAGCAAATCACTATGTCCTCCAACCCTGCCCCAGTCCACTCCAACTTTAGAAAGAAACTAGGACTATCCAGCTGGGAGCATGCACTACACTTCACTTGCCTGTTCTCCTTCCCTGAAGTACAGTTGACGATATGTTGCTCTCTTCTATATGATGAGTCCCTCAGTTTATGCTCTGGATCTCATTCTCTTTTTTCTTATCTTAAATTATGAACTATCACTTCTTTCCAGAATCTTTAACCTGTTCTGTTGTTTCCTTCTCATCAGTTTTTAAGAACATGCTTCCATCTCTCCCAGCCTTCTGACATCCCCTCCAGATACTGTCCTCTGTCCTGGCCCTTATAACCAGATTACTCAGTTACATCCAATGTTATATTTCTCAACCTCCTGTTCACTCTTAATTCGCTGTAGTGTGTCTTGTACTCCCACCTCAGCTAAAACAACCAGTGACCTTCAACAAATTTTCTGCACTAAATCCAAAAAATTTTTATCATGATCTCATTTGACTCCTTAGCAGTATTCAGCATTTTTGACATGCCTACCTTCTTCAATCACCTGACATCCATGACATTACATTTTTTTTCTAGTTTACTTCCTAACTAAAT